GCTGGTGGTGCAGCAGGCGGGCAAGGCGGACGCCGGGGAGTACAGCTGTGAGGCCGGGGGCCAGAAGGTCTCCTTCCGCCTGGACGTCACAGGTGGGTCCCATGAGGTGCTGTGTTGCTTTGGAACATCATTCGGCACTGGGGTGGAGGGATGGACACACTGCCGCGTGGTTTGTACGCTCACAAGTCTCCCAATATAACAACAGTTTATGGGTACAACTGTGTGCCGAGTGCCAGGCCCTTTGTGAAGCGCTTCTTGTCTTTTTTCAAATACTGCTTTATTGAGATTTTGGTGAAAGTTTACACAGCAAGTTATGTTCCCATTTGACAATTTCTGCACAAATTGTTCAGTGACAGTAGTTACATTTATCACAGTGTGTCAACATTCTCTTTAATCGTGTGCTGTTTGTTCCATTTCCGGTACTCGAGTTTCCCCACACCCCTGCCCCCCATCTTCTCATCTTTGCTTTCGAGTAATTGTTGACCTTTGAGTCTCATACAGATGGTTTTTAAGTAGGGCACCAGTCTTATGGGTAGTATCCTTTATGTTTGTGTGCCACTCTGCTATTTGGCTAATAGGTGATCTCAGGGGATAGTAGACTCGGTTCAAACAGTGTCTCAGGGTGATAGTCTCAGGGAGTCCTCTGTTCTCGACTGTTCCAGTTAGACTTTTTTTTTTTTTTTTAATTAAGAATTTGAGTTCTGCTTCACATTTTTCTCCCATTCTATCAGGGACCATCTATTGTGACCCCTGTCAGAATGGTTGTTGATGGGTCTTCTAGTTCTGCTGGTCTCAGCATAGATGCTTCTTGTCTTTCTACTTTGCTTAAACTTTACCACAACTCTTCAAGGAAATTGTGGTTATTTCCATTTTAAGACAAGCACAGGGAAGTTTTGTAACTTTCCAAAGTTTGCACAGCCAGAAAATGATAGAGCCAGGATTTGGTGCCAATACTCTGGAATCATTTTCCTTCTGCTTAAAGAACTCTGTCTTAAAAAACTACTTATTTTTGCAGGTGTACTGGTGATACGGAGCCCTGGTGACACAGTAGTTAAGTGTTCAGCTGCTAACCACAAGGTCGGCAGTTCGAATCCACCATCTGCTCTTTAGAAACCCTATGGGGCAGTTCTACTCCGTTCTGTAGAGTCACTGTGAGTTGGAATCAACTTGACAGCAACAGGTTTTGATTTTGTTTTGTTTTGTTTTTTAACTGATGATACACATCGTCTAATTTTTTGGTTTATACGAAAACATCTTTGTTTTGCCTTCAGTGCTGAAGTCCCATTTTCTCAGGGTATCCAATCCTAGTTGAGCAGTTTCTTTCTCTTAGTATTTTAAAGACATCATTCCATTGTTTTCCAGCTTCTATGTTTCTTTGGAACATGAACTGTCAGATTTGTTGAGATTCCTTAGACAGTCATGTATCTTTTTTATCTAAGCCCCTTTAATATTTTCTCTTTGATTTTTGGCTTTAACCGTTTAACTCTGTTGAGCCTTGGTGTATTCATCCTACTTGAGATTGCAGAGAATCTTGACTTTGCGGGTTGATGTCTTTCATTGGTCCTAGAAAATTCTTGGGCAGTTTTCTTCTGCATCTTTCTCTCTCATTTTTTCCAGTTCTCCAGGCCCCCATTAGATCTCTACTAGCCCTTATAGCTATTTCTCACATGTCGAGAATGTGTGTCTGTCTATCTGTCTCTGTCTGTCTCTTAATTCTTTCTTTCTCTCTGCTTTAGTCTGGATAGTTTTTGGCCCTGTCTCCCAGTATCCTAATCCTCTGTTATGCTGCATCTAATCTGTTGGGACCCGATCTGTGGTGTGTTTAATTTCAGTCACCGTATTTTTAAGCTCTGTAATTTCCAATTTATTGGTTTTTTTAATGGAATTTAATTCTCTAGAGAAATTCTTCATCTCTGATCTATTGTCTGTCTCCTTTCCTCTATTTAAAATATTAGTTGTTGCTATGCTGTGGACTGGAAGTTCTATTGTCTGGTTCAACAGAGATGGTCTCCCCCCCCTCCACTCCCCCAATATTTGCTCCTGTCTTTGGTATGCCTGCAAAATGTTTGATTCACTGTCAGACATTGTATATGAAAATTGTTAAATAGGGATGATGTGATCTTATTCCCTCTTTCCTTGGCTAGGCAGATAGGACTAAGAACATTAATCCATTTTGGGACTGAGCTGACTGGAGGCTACATTGCAGTTTTGATAAGGGCCATCTATCCCTGGTTCTTCTCTGATCCTGGGTAAAGTCCTCCAAGGATTCCTGCTGAGAGCTTGGGATATGTATTAGGGTTCTCTCCTACTGACCCTGAATGCTAGTATTTGTCCATTTAGCACTGCAAAATGCTAAAAGAGTCCTCTCTGCTTTCAGAAGTTTTCTGCCTGGCTTCCTAGCCGCCTGCCCTGTGCAGCTTTAGAACTCATCAAACATCTTGAGGGGAAACAAGTAGAGTATGGGACTCAGTTCTTCACTCTCCCTTCTCACTGGGGACTTGGGCCCTCAAGAATTCAATTTTATAATATCAAGAGTTGGTAAGGATGTAGAGCAACTGGAACTCTCACTCACCTCTGGTGGGACTGTAAGTTGGTACAGTTATTTTGCAAAACTGTTCAACAGTAGCCACTGATGCTAAACACGTACCCACCTTATTTCCAAGCTGTTACAAGTGTCAACCAAAGACTTGTGCAAGAATGCCATGTTGTTGTTGTTAGGTGCCGTCAAGTCGGTTCTGACTCATAGCAACCCTGTGTGCAACAGAACGAGGCACTGCCTGGTCCTGCACCGTCCTTGCAATTATTGCTGTGTCAGAGCTCATTTTTGTAGCCACTGTGTCAGTCCATCTCACTGAAGGTCTCCTCTTTTTCGCTGACCTTCTACTTTACAAAGCATGATGTCCTTCTCCAGGGACTGGTCCCTCCTGATAACGTGTCCAACATACGTGAGGGAGGTCTTCCCATCCTCGCTTCTAAGGAGCATGCTGGTTGTACTTCTTCCAAGACAGATTTGTTTGTTCTTCTGGCAGTCCAGAAGAATATTGAATAATATTCTTCACCAACACCATAAGCCAAAGGCGTCAGTTCTTCTTTGGTCTTCCTTACTCATTGTCCAGCTTTCATGCATATGAGGTGATTGAAAACACCATGGCTTGGGTCAGGTGCACCCTAGTCCTCAAAATGACATCTTTACTTTTTTTTAACACTTCAAAGGGGTTTTTTGTAGCTCATTTGCCCAATGCAATATGTCTTTTGCTTTCTTGACCGCTGCTTCCATGCATGTTGATTGTGGATCCAAGTAAAATGAAATCCTTGACCACTTCATTATTTTCTCCGTTTATCATGATGTTGCTTGTTGGTCCAGTTGTGAGGACTTTTGTTTTCTTTATGTTGAGGTGTGATTCATACTGAAGGCTGTGGTCTTTGATCTTCAACAGTTAGTGCTTCAAGCCCTCTTCACTCTGAGGAAGCCAAGTTGAGTCATCTGCGTATCACAGGTTGTTAATGAGTCTTCCTCCAATCCTGATGCTGCATTCTTCTTCATAGAGTCCAGCTTCTCAGATTAAATACTCACAGCAGGCCCATTTTGGAAGCAAACAAAATGACCCTCGATGAAAAAGGAAACATAAATGTGATGTATTTGTGCGGTGGCATCCTATATTTCAATAGAAGGCAAACTACTGCTGTATCCAACAACATGGATGAATCTTACAGACATTATTTTGAGTGAAAAAAAAAGCAGACACAGAAAGTATATAATGTATAATTGAATTTATATGAAATTAAGAACAGGCAAAGTTGGTTTATAGTGGTGTGAGCAACATATTGGTTATCTTTCTGGGAGGTCATTGGTGACTGAGGGACCGGAAATGTCTGTATTTGATACGTGTGTGGTTACATGGGGGTATGTGTACATAAAGCTCACTGAACTGCACAGTGACAGTTACCGCAATTTACTACATGGAAGTTACAACTGGATATAAAAGAATAAAGTTTACGGAGGACGTACCATTTGCCACACTCTGGGAATAAAATACACCAAAAACTTGCAAAAGCCAGAACCTGTGTGAGGTGGAAACCTGTCAGAGAAGGAAAACCCAAATATTTTCCACTGAAATGAGTGATAGAAAAGTGGTAAGGCTGCACCCTGTCAAAGGCAGAAAACTTGCGAGACCTGGAAAAACATGGCAGTCCCGTCAAGTTCTAGCTGTCACAGGTTTCACTATGGTAAACAAGAAAGCTTGGCCCTACCTGCCAGGTGCTGACTGTCATATGAGAAAGAAAATAAACAGTTATAGGAGCTGGGACAGCCTTAGCCACCTTCCTCCAGGCTTAGGAATTGCTCTTGAGTCAGGCATGCCCAAATTGTGCACTTGGGGCTCCATGACAGGGGTCCTGTGTTTGTGAACTCGAGTCTAATAGCCCACAGGACACGTGACGTCACTGGGCTCAAGGGGAAATGTACTGAACTCTGGTGCTTCGGTGTCTGTGAAATGGGTTGGTACCATGTTTGTGTCTCTGACCCGTGTGCCACCCGTCCCCAGAGCCCACAGTGGTGTTTGCCAAGGAGCAGCCAGCTTGGAGCGAGGTGCAGACCAAGGCGGGGGCCAGCGCCACGCTGAGCTGCGAGGTGGCCCAGGCCCAGACGGAGGGGGCGGGGGACAAGGACGGGAAGAAGCTGAGTGCGAGCCCGAGGGTGCGCGTGGAGGCCACGGGCCGTGGGCGGCGGCTGGTGGTGCAGCAGGCGGGCAAGGCGGACGCCGGGGAGTACAGCTGTGAGGCCGGGGGCCAGAAGGTCTCCTTCCGCCTGGACGTCACAGGTGAGTGACCATTCGCCTTGTTTGAGGAAGATGATGGGACTGACTTATCGCCCTGATGGACCCTGGGGTCCTCAGTCCTTGGACTTCATGTCTTCTTGTCTCCCATCCTCTCACCATCCTGGGTCCCTGCTTGTGGCTGGGAGCAAAGGAGGCTCTCTTGGAAGGGTGTGTCCTGAAGGCAGGGAGAGGGGCTGTTCTTCTTCGCCTCAGGTGGTGTTTTCAGGCAGGAATGGTTAGTCACTTGTTCCCAGCCCCTGCCCAGAACCCTCCTTTTCTTCCTTGACTGCCAGGACTCTGGCTCTGTCTGGTACCTGGGGTCTGAAGGAGACCAGGCGTCTCTCCTCTGGGATATGTGAATAGCCTCCTGTTGGCTGGTCTAGGAGCTCCCACATTCCTTACCCAGAACCACATGGGGCTTCTCTGGTTTGAGGTGTTTAAATTCCATTGAGGAATGGTAGGGGAGGCTTCAGCCACCCAGTCATACTGGTATTATCTCAAGGCTGATCTTTTTTTTTTTAAATAATTTATTTTATTTTTGTTGTTGTTGAGAATATACACAGCAGAACATACGCCAGTTGAACAATTTCTGCGCATACAGTTCAGTGACATTGATTACATTCTTTGAGCTGTGCAAACATTCTTAGCCTCCTTTTCCAATTTGTTCCTCCCCCTCATTAACATAAACTCACTGACCCCTAAGGTTCCTATCTACTCTTTCAAGTTTCTGTTGTCAGTTTGATCCCATATAGATATATCTTAAAAGAGTACAGTGCTCAAGGCAGATACTCTTTACTAGTTAAGCTAAACTATTTGGTTTTAAGAAGACTTCAGTGGATATCTTTGGTTTAAGGTTTAAAGATTGTCTCAGGGCAATAGTTCCTGGGGTTTATCCAGCCTCTGTGCCTCCAGAAAGACTGGATTCCATGAAAATTTTAGAATTATGTTCTGCATTTCCCGCCTTTTGATCAGTATTCTTCTATAGAATCTTTGATCAAAATGTTCAGTAATAGTATCAAGGCTGATTTTTGAATGATCACAGTTTGGGTGCTCTGGGCCACGGTTGCTTTCCTTTGACATGGGTGTGGAAGCCCTCTGTGCACTTATGTGCACAAAATCTAGATCTGTGTGTTGTTGGAAGGTCTGTTGAAAGCAAATGAAGAACAGAGGATTGATAGATATGCTCCTGAGAGATTTGGGATTCTCTTTTTAAAGCAAATAGCATTTTCTCTTTGTCTTCAGTTAGAATATTCTGTGTGGAATTTCCCTTGGAGTTTGACATATAATTTTAGGAATGGAAAGTAATAAGTAGCTTCTGCGATAGGGTCATTGTGAGTCAGAATCAACTCGACGGCATGGGGGTTGGTTTGGTTTTGGCCACATCAGCAGGCCTTGTTCATGATGAGTTACTGTAGTAGCAGCTGCTGACTGGTAAAGTAGAGTTTATTTCATATCACTCCCCTAATGATCTGTGTGTGTCTGTACCGTCCTGGCTGGTTCATAGAAAAGTATGAGAATGAACTTTATCTTCCTTTTGTTAAGAGTCTTGACCTCCAGTTAGGGCTGCATTCCCACTCTTGACCACTAGGGGTCGCAACATAACACAGTCATACTGTATTAGTCTGTAATACCTTGGACCCCTGGTGGTGTAATGGTTATGAGCTCGGCTGCTAACCAGAAGGTTGGCAGTTCAAATACACCAGCTGCTCCTTGGAAACCCTATGGGGCAGTTCTACTCTGTCCTGTAGGATTGCTATGAGTTGGTATTGGCTTGACGGCACCTAACAGTCATAGCGAACCCCGTAGGACAGAGTAGAACTGCCCCATAGGGTTTCCAAAGAGTGGCGGGTGGATTTGAACTGCCGACCTTTTAGTTAGCAGCTGAGCTCTTAACCACTGCACCACCACGGCTCCATAGATACGAAACACGCTGATACATATCTCTTGAGCTTTATTTTAACAGAATGTTACCAATTATTTTATGCAAATAATTTTGAAAAGTTTTGATAAATTGACCATTTCCTAGAAAACTTTTGACTTGAGAAGAAATAGGCAACTCAGACAGTCCTACAACAGTAAAACAATGGGCTCCGTAGTTAAAAATCTTCTCACAGAGCAGAGTATAAGCACACATGTTCTATTCTGGGAAGAAATGATTCTAAGTTTATCAAGAATCTTACAGCAAATACAAAAAATAATACATTTTCCAACTCATTTTATGCAGCTAGGATAACAGTGATACCAAAATCTGACAAAGAAAGTATGAAGAATTAAAATTATAGGTCTATCTCTTATGGGTATCAAGGCCAGTATCCTAAAGAAAATTTTGACACAGTGAATTTAACAATATATCAAGAGGATAATATACTGTGACCAAGGTCACAGTCTAGGAATGCAAGTTTGGTTTAGCATTGGAAACATTAGAAAATCAGTATAAACAAAAACCAGACAAGAGGAAATGGAGAACCCAGGGTAGAAATAGGGAGAGTGCTGATACATAGTCGGAATGCAACCAATGTCATGGAGCACTGTACCTATAACTGTCAAATGGGAAACTAATTTGCTCTGTAAACTTTCACCTAAAGCACAATTTAAAAAAAAAGTTGAAAAACTTGAGATAAGCAAAAAAAAAAAAAAAAACCAGAAAAGTAATATAAAAAAAGAAAATCAATATAAACTATAAAATCAGCAGATTAATGGAGAAAAACTGTGATTATTTCAATAAATGCAGAATAAATACCTGATAAAATTTCATATCATAAATCTAGAATAAGCATTGGATAAAATTGAGCATCAATTCTCAGTAAAAAATTCTTAACAAACTAGAAATAAAAGGGAACTTCCTTGATTTGATAAAGAAGAATTAACGCATTTAAACTGTAAGGTTGATGAACACACAGAAGAACGAACAAATCAGTATTAGAAAAAATACAACCAGAATACTCCTTAGAAGCAAGGATGGCTAAAGTTCGTTTTGCTTACTTAGGGCCTATCATCAGGAAAAGGCAATTTCTTGAAAAAGACATCCTATTTGGTAAAACAGAGGGTCAGTGAGAACAGGAGAAACCTTGTAGCCATATCAAATGGGCTCAGACACATTAAAGATTATGAAGATGGTGCAGTACCAGGCAATGTTTTGTTCTGTTATGCATAAGGTCCCCATGAGTTGGAACCAATTCAGTGGCAGCTAACAACAAAAGAAACTACAAAAAAATTAGGACACTGTGTACTTACAGTAGAACCTTGAACACTTTCCCTTTAAAATTGGAATAATCCAAGGATACCCACTGTCACCACCTCTGTCCACCACTGTACAGCATAGTAAAGAGATAAATGAAATAAAAGGTATAAAAGTTAGAAAAAATGAAAGTCATTCACTGATGGTATGATTATAAATACAAAATACTCAAAAGATAAATTATTAGCAGTAGTAGAGGAGTTGAGAAAGATTGCCACCTAACAATGAATATACAAACACACTTTGTTATCTACGTACTAGCAACAAGCCACTGGAAATTGAATTTTTATACAACACCATCAGAAGTATCATGTTTCTACTTCCAAGTCTAATACGACATGTTTATGGCCTCCATGGGGAACATTATTAAACATTTTTGAGAGCTAGTAAAGAAGATGTAAATAAATGGAAAAAAATCCATGGAAGATTTAAAGATGTTCGTTCTCAATCAAAATCCAAACAAAAAATTTTTTTGGTGGTGGTGGGAGGGGGGTTGAAATTGCATACCAATTCCAAGGACCAAGTATAACCATTACACTCTTGAAGTAGAACAGAGAGAGCATTTGCTCTGCCTGCTACCAAGACTTATTATAAAGCTACAGTAATTAAGACAGCAGAGTCTCAGTGTAGGGATAGATGAGCAGACAAAAGCAACAGAATGTGGTGAGCTCAGAAGCAGACCCATGCATACCTGGACCCCCCCTCCACTTGTTTTTCTTCTTTTTACCGTGGTGCCTGTAAAGAGTGCAGAAAAGATGGTCTTTTCATAAATGGTGGTTGGTCCATTTAACCATATGCAAAAAAATAAATAAAATTGAACCCCTACCTGACACCACACACAAAAATAAACTAATAAGTGGGTTAGTCCTCAGCGTGCAAGGTAAAACAATAAAGCTCTTAGAAAACATCAATTGTTTAATGCCCTCAGGGTAAGGAAAGATTTCTTAAGCAGATTTCTTAAAGAGGACATAAAATGCAGTAACTCAAAAAACATGATTGATATATTTGACTACTGTATATATCGTATATATGTAAACATTGACTACCGATAAAGGAAGAGTCCAAGCCACACAGGTGGGGCAGATATTCACAGCACGCATAACTGTCTGTGCTCCAGCATTTAAGTATCTAAAGAGCTTCAAAAAATGAATATGAAGAAGACAGGCAATGATATTGAAAACTGAGTAAAGACTTGAACAGTGACACCACAGGAGAGGAAACAGGAATGGCCAATGAACTTGGAAAAGGAGCTCCCCTGTAACAGTCCTCAGGACAGTGCGCACAAAAGTCACGGGGAGGTAGATCCCCACGCCCAGCAGATGGCCAGGAGTTAGCACATCCGACATACTAAGAGTAGGCTCGGCGGTGGAGCACCAGGAACTCCCCTGCACTGCATCTTGGGAAAGTCTCTGGCGTCATCTGGTCGGATTGAAGGTGCACAGGCATCCCGACCCCGCAGCCCTCTCCTGGAGCAGCGTGTGCCCAGGCGCAGTCTTACAAAACGTCCCCACATGCTGTCAGTGTCAGGAGGTATAAATGCACTGCAGTGAGCTGTTGCTCAGAAGGGCCCGGGGCCTCTCCAGGCCTCAGAGCTGGAGGCAGAGCCTGGAGTAGCTTCCGGATCTCCTGGCTCCCGCCCAGGCCTTCTTTACCCAGTGCTGTCTTTCTGACTTAGATGATGTCTCTGACCACGTGTCTCTTTCTGTCCCCAGAGCCCACGGCAGTGTTTGCCAAGGAGCAGCCAGCTCGGAGCGAGGTGCAGGCCAAGGCGGGGGCCAGCGCCACGCTGAGCTGCGAGGTGGCCCAGGCCCAGACGGAGGTGGCGTGGTACAAGGACGGGAAGAAGCTGAGTGCGAGC